ATTTGGTGAGCAAATAGAAAAGTTATTTAGTTGTCATTTGTTGATTTAATTCAGGTCAGAACTTATGAATGAATTCTTAACTCTCCAACAAAACTATTTATAATGTTTGAATTAGTTGCATTATTACAGCTGATAATATATGACCATGAACACGTGTGAACTGCTACTTTGTGAAAATGTTTGCATATCTTTGTTGAATGACATTAAAAATTGCTATTGTACAATCTTGTAACTTTGACCCCCCGCTCCCAGTTTGTATTTCAGTTTGTGTCTCCTTGCTATACTTTGCCATAATACATACCTGGCTTGTTTGCCATAATACATACATACCTGGCTTGTTTGCCATAATACATACATACCTGGCTTGTTTGCCATAATACATACATACCTGGCTTGTTTGCCATAATACATACATACCTGGCTTGTTTGCCATAATACATACATACCTGGCTTGTTTGCCATAATACATACATACCTGGCTTGTTTGCCATAATACATACATACCTGGCTTGTTTGCCATAATACATACATACCTGGCTTGTTTGCCATAATACATTCATACCTGGCTTGTTTGCCATAATACATACATACCTGGCTTGTTTGCCATAATACATACATACCTGGCTTGTTTGCCATAATACATACATACCTGGCTTGTTTGCCATAATACATACATACCTGGCTTGTTGCACTTACCTGGCTTATGTCAGAGGGTATCCCCCAGATGAGGCTCTTCCGAAGGACAGTTTCTCATCTCGGGAAACTGACTTCGTTTTTACGTGGTCTGTAGGGAATTTTTGCCCGAGCCTACAGGCTTGGATACCCCACTTTAAATTCGGCTTTGTGCCACATCTTGCTGCGTGAGGCAGTGGGTAAATAATTATACTTTGCCATAAAGTGAATTAAATCATAGTGACTTTGATATTTTTGAAATGTAGATTTTACAAGTTCATTCAGGTACTGATGAATGGAGTTTATGACTATAAAAACAAAAAGAAAATTGATAATTTAAAAAATATTTTTTTTTTTTTTTTTTAGAATCTTCACTTTTGTCATTTTTCTAAAGAGATTAGTTAAAATTGGGAGAAAGAAGCAAAATAGCTGATAATCTTAAGAGTGAACAAAGTTGTTGTTTTTTTTTTCCTTAAAGGTATTTTTTCTTTATCACTCCAATTAAAACAATTTTGATATGAAAACTTCTTGGAGTGACAGAAGTTCCATGCAGAGAATAAATTTTTTTTTTTTTTCCTGGCTAGGATAGAAAGCAGCTGATCAATATTATATTGGTTTTTCCCTGGGAAAGATTTTGTATGTGATGTCATTTTGGATGAAGAAACTTGACAAATACTTGCATTTTAACTTCTGCTTAAATTTCTATTGAAATATAAAAATTGCTGCTGCATGCTCTGTTTAGTTTTACTTCTAGTTTAAGATGATAGAACTGAGACAATACTGTATTTCCATTCAACATTCGGAAATATAAAAATCCAGTTAGAATTATTAACAACACTTTTCAGATAAATCTGCAACAGTAAACCTTATTTGGTAGTCATTTGTGCTGCTTTTAGCTAATAAATTGATTATCTATTAAACTTCAAATTGCAAATATCACTCCAACAATCCGAATAAAACTTATTGAACTTTGATCTCATTATAAAAATATTTAAATTTTAATTTTAAAAATATTTTTACTTTATTATAGGCTTGCAATTTGGTTTATTGAGTAGTTTTAATTATTGGCTGAAAATTATAAACTTTGTGTAATGAAATATTTGCCTCAGATCCACAGTCATGCCACTCTTAACTGCTAAATTAGCCTAAAAATGAACAAATACTTTGAGTCAGTTAAATAACTGGATTGGTCTTAAACTAACAAAATGTGTTTTATTTAAAATGTTTAAATATTATTCTAAATATTACTGGTTTGCCATTTTGCTTAGAAGCAAAAAAATAAACTGTTTAACTTCATTATTGGTTAACCACTTTGCTTAGTTAAATGTCAAATTCTGATTGGTTGATTCTTGTGGCATACCTATATGCTGTTCTGATAGTCAGCCTTTATAAAGCATAAATTGAGTTGCATTGCTCTCACAGCTACTGTTTCTGTTATTCCACTGGTGAGGGACATTTGATTGATATTTCAGGGTGATGTTGCAGTGTAGCCAGGTAGAGAGGAGGGTATGTATTTGGTCAGGCTATTTGAAATTGATTGTATGACTACTGTTGTACTTCACTCTTATTGCTAGTGATGCAAAGCAGCATGTGCTTCACCAGCTGACCAAAATGGTTATTTATAGGAGCAAGGCTGCCGGAAGGAGATAGACAATAAAGGCCAAAAGGCTTGCTTTAGATTTCATTTGACTATTATTATAATAATTAGTTTCTTTTTCTTTTAGGTCATTAGCATTAGTATATATTGGTTAGACTTGAGTTGGTTTTTGCTGTTCCTTACATAGATGCCTTACAGAGAAGTCTATTATCTTTCTCTCTCTAGAAATGTAACTGTTTACTCTTGAATTATTTCTAGATTTATATCCCTCAATAAACCACTTCGTTGTTTTATTTTTATTCTTTATTTATCTCATTCTCTTTTCATCTAACTCTGATATTTTATCTTTTAATTGTGATCTTAATTTGAGTTCAAAATTACAAATTTGAATTAGTTCAAGTTTCAGCTAATATTATTTTAATTTTTTGTTTTAAGCATTTTAGCAGATTGGAAAAAAAAACAACTTGCAGGTGTTTTTCAGAATTATTTAAATTTTATTTTATTTTATTTTTTTTTTTTAAAAATTTTTTATGAGTGGTTTCCCTGATTGGAAAAAAGGGAATACAGCTTTGATTTCTATCAGGAGGGACATTTTTCTTTGGTAGCACTTCTTGATCTAGGCCAGTTGATATTGATTTCACTGTTCGAGCATGTATATCCACTAAAAAATAATTTTAAGAAATAATATGGAATTAAAAAATCCAGTTTAAAAAATATTATGTTTATGTTTCGGGTTCAAAAATGAAGCCACCAGCAGATACTAATTCAAAAACATCTTAAAAGGTATGTATTCCTTAAGTAGGTAATTAATTGCCTTATGACAGTCTCTGGTAGCCTAATCTTTTATTTATTTATTCAAATTCTTTTTAGCTGCTTCTTTCACTTTTTTTTTGACTTGATTCAATCAGTAACTGATTGAATTGTGTTAATATTTAAATATTTCAAGCTTATACTAATGTCATGTATGATGGTATTACAATGGGTTCATTTTCCAGTGAAGTCCATTTAGAATAGTCAATTTTGTTTCTTTTCAAATGAGGGTGCCATGCTGAGGGTGCCTCTACTTCATAGCATCTCAGAGCAAAATGGGGATCACTTGGCTGCACTCCTCTTCTTTCCAAATAACATGTAACAGATTGTACTGGGTTGCATGGTACCAGCAGCAAGAAACAACTTCTGACCTGTTCCAAAATGGAACTGCTTTATAAGGCTGAAGGGCTTCAAGTACTCTGTTATTTATCCATTACTTGAGGAAGAAATGGGTTCATGCCTTTCACTGTCTCATTGGGAGTTTTAAATTGTTTGGTGATTCAATTTTACATGCCTGTTATGTCATCTATACCTGTCCACTTTTGTAGTGGCTGAATTTTAATTCCTTGAAAGTGAAAGTTTTGTAAGCTGCAAGATGTTTGGATAAACAATTTTTAGCCAACGCGGGATTCTTGTTGTTTGTGTGGGGTGGGGGTGTTGGAGTTGCTCTGGGGGCAACCAAAAGATTCTTGAAGGTTTTTTTTTTTTTCCTGAGTTTTTTTACATATTTCTAAACTACTTTAAAGATGCTTTGAGTAAACAAAATATTTTCGAAACCACTGTTACTTCTCCTCTCTCTCACAGAATTTCTTGGAGTGACAGAAGTTCCAAACTTTTTCTCTCTTTGTTTAGATGTCTAGGATTAGGAATCTTAGATCACGGGAATTTGAGAAAAACAGCAAAACATTAATGTAATTCCCCCGTTTTTTTTTTCTTTTCTCTCCATTTACCCTGTTAAAAAAATGTTTTGTGTTGTAGATTGGAGAATAAAGTATTTACATGACATTTATCTTAGTATAGATGTCTAAAGTAAAATAAATTTGGTATGTGTGTTTTATTAGTAGGAGACAAGATTAATTACTTTATTGATAATTCTGTATGAATGTAGATGTTAAATGAATACGATGGAAATCTGTTATTGTATAATGAGTGAATAAAGCCTGTAGGTTTTAGAGAGGACCATCAACAATGTTTAGTTTTCATGCCTGCAAAAAAAGAAAGCATTTGAAAAGGACTGTTATTCCCTTAACACTCTTATTATTGTATACACAAAACCCAAACATATGAAAGTGGATTTATACATTGTCTTTATTCTTGAGAATTATTCAACAAAGATATTAAACACTATTTATTAGATTGCTTATTTGCAAATATAATTCTATATTTACAAGATTATGAAAATATGTGAACCAACTATAATGAAATATTTAGTATGTTTCATTTTATAAAGAAATAAATATGAAAAGAATTTTTTTTTATTCATAAATCTATAAAAATGTCTGAACAAGAAAATTTAAATAAACACATGATGATGTGTAACCTTTCATTTTCTCTCAACTTATAAAATAGTTTGAGAGCATCTCTTCCTCTAAACCAAACATTCTTTTAATTTTAGATTTTAGGCAAGAATGAAAATGCTCAATATTTCAAGTGTGTATTGTCCTATTTCTTGTGTGTAATTATAGAATGTGTGTAATTTTTACCGGGTCTTACTTTTAAAAAAAAACAAACTTTTTTTAGATAACAGTTTAGGGATATGTCTTACTAATTAACCTATAAATGGGAGGAAAAGAAATGTATTCATACCTTTCCCAGGTGTATTTGTGCATAAGTCAATATGATGAACCCAATGGGAATTGAAACTCTGCCCTCCAGTTAACAATTCTAAGCCATTATCCGTTACACCACCTGCACATCCAAGCTTACAACACCTAGTATTCCTAAGCAGTCACCCATCTAGGTACTGGCCAGGTTTGACATTGCTTAACTTCAGTGATTGTATAGGAACTGATGTTTCAACGTGATATGTCTGTAAGTCCTTGTAAGTGTTGGACAGTGTACAGTAAAGCATAGTATCTGTGGTCATTTTAGATTGTAATGCATGGAACACTGCATACCATTTCCATAGTATCAGTTCTTCTGAAAAGTGTAGTTGGTTCTGTAAAAGCCTTGGCTGCTAGAATCAAATCTTCTATGTTGGAAGTCTAATGGTTCAGTTCTAAATTGAACTGTTAGACCCTCAAGGTTTAAGGCCACATCCTATTGAAACATAAGTTTCCATAGGATCACTAAAGTAAGCAACTTCAAGACGGGTCAGTACCTAGATTGGTGATCATTTGGGGTTGGGAATAACAGGTGCTCTAATGGTTAATGGCTTGGTATTGTTAATCGGAGAGCTGAGTTCCAATTCTTGTTGGGTTTGTTATATTCACTTACATACAAATAGCCTTAGGAAAGGTATTAATCCACCTTTTCTCCCCCAGCTATAGGTTAATTATTAAAACTTGTATCACTAAACCATTATTATCACAAAAAAAAATTCTTACAATTTGAAAATATTTTCTAGCTTTAAATAACCTGCAAGGGGTTGATAAGCTGAAGAAAAAGAATCCGTCAACCAGACCCTCATACGTGAAATTTGATGCGAGAGTCCACCATGTAAAAGGCTAATTACTGTTTAACATACTATATTCACTAACTTACAGACATATTTTGGTTTTAATGAAAAGTATTCAAATATTAGTGTATTCAATGTGCTCGTTTTTTAAAAAAAAGAAAGTGGGGGGGTGCTTGCTAAAGATTCAAACTGTTATGAAGTGACAGTCAGCCACAGTGAGCTGTAATCTAAAAATTACCTTTGCAAAACATCTATTATAGTTCAGTATGTATAGTATCTATCTTGATATGAGTATTTATTTAGAATTGTAATTATGTTACATTCACTTATGCACTAATACCATTGGGAAAGGATGAATCCTCTTTTTCTCCCCCCAACTATGGGTAAATAGCAGGACAGACTGGGTTCTCTCGCCTTGATCTACCGCAGAAAGAAATGGCAACATAATGCGGGGAAAAAAACTGCCTTGTCAGTCATGTGTTGAAAGATACATGATCACCTAAGTGTATATCACACATGGCACATAACTGATTGAATATGACGTTTATTACAAATATTAATTTACATCTGGATTATTGTTCTCATCTTTGTTGTTGTTGTTACCACTTTTAACATTTTGACTGTTGTTGTTGTGCCCATTAAGCATCATCATGTCTATGTTGATCCAGGTAACCTACAGGGAATTCTAAACTGAACCTTTATTTAGTTTTGTTTTTGTTCAGTTTCCCATATCTAGGGATATATCATCTAATTCTATATTTTAGTACTGCTTTCACTGAGTCCAAGTGCACACTGCTTGACCCATGGATTGGACTTACAATTACTTTTTCATTGGCTTTATGTGTAAGTCAAGTCAGTGTGGATTTTAACATGGCTTTCGTTGTTCCTGGGAACATGGTATGAAATTCTTTGTTGAACAAAGAAAGGAATTGAGAACATCTCAATGTTAAAAATTATGGAACAAGCTGTACTGCACATGTTACTGAAAAAAAGAATAACTTATATTGTGAATACTTGTGTTAATGTTCTGAATTTTCTATTTGATACTATTTTTTGCTTTGTGATAACAAAGATGAGGACAATAGGCTGCATGTAACTAGTGTAAATTATAACTGCACATCCCAGAAAATCAGACAGAAACTAATTTGTTTATGGATTAGTTGGAAATGAGTTTTTCTTGTGGATAATATTGTAGCAATAATTATCTTGAACAGTCATTTGGTAGTGACAGTTTTACATGCTACTACTGAGCTATATCTATAAATAATCCTTTTGTATTCATATAAGTCTTTAACTCCATACATCAGTTTAACAGAGATAGTAAAAGATTTTCTATTTAGAGCCAAGGTTAGTTGACTTTATTGGCCCAAACTTGTTTTTTTTTTTTTGCATTTTCACTTATTTTCTCATTGGATGAAACTTTTGATCTTTATCTCTGAATTTGTGTGGTATGAAGTTCTTTTTACTTTTTATGTGCTACGTCCTTTCAGGATGTAGGCAATCATGGCTCTCCCTCCCTCTATCCCTTGTAGCTCTCAACAAGTTCCTTCCCTCTGCCACCTCCTGCAGACCATGTTTTGTCATCTACATGCTTAAGTCTGCTAGATATGTCACGCATTGTTTTCTTTTGTCTTTCTTTCCCTCTATTCAACATGTAAGAATCAGATTCTCCAAGCCTGCCTTCCTTTATGTCTCCCAGAAACTTCAGCTGTCTCTTCCTGATGTTAACTATAAACCTTGTCTTTGTTTGCATCCTCTCTAAGACCTCATCGTTGCTCACACGCTCGGTCCATGATATCCTTAGCATTCTTCTGTAGAACCAAAGTCTCCTTCTACAACATTCTTAAAGAAGGACAGATGTCACTAACAGTTCAGTATTCTTTTCTTTGTTACCGAAGAAATCCTTCTGTCTTACAATACTCTGCTCAGCTTTTGGAATGCGTCTTTGGCCATCCCAATATGTCTATAGATTTCACTGTCACACTTACCGTTCTGTCAAAATGCTTCCCAGATATTTAAACTTCTGTGTCTGCTTGATTCTAGTGTTCCTGACCTGCAAATTGCATTTTGCGCTCATCCTCTTACTGATGACCATGCATTCTGTCTTTTAGTTTATGCTTAGTCCATTCTTCTCACTTTCTATTGCTTCTGTAGGAGATTTTGTAATTTCTTTTCCATGTCTGCTATCAGTGCTGTCATCTGCGTATCTTATGTTGTTAAGATTGTGGCTGCCAATGCTAATTCCATGTAGGGTTTACAATTCTCTCAGAATTGCCTTGCTGTATAGGTTGAACAGGTCGGGTGAGAAGATACATCATTGCCTTACGCCCCCTTTCTATTTTTGTATATTTGCTGAACTCATTCCCTATGTTCATGCATGCTGTTTGCTGCCAGTATAGGTTCTCGATTATTCTGATATCTTTCCCAAATATATCAAAGTTGCTGAGCAGTTCCAATAGTTCTTTATGGCATACTTTGTCGAAGGCCTTTTGTGTAGTCTATGAAACATAGGTATATGTCCTTCTGCGTTTGTATTGCTCTTTCTGATAACATTCTAAGCATGAATATCATGTTTCTTGTTTCAGTGTCTTTAATGAACACACACTGTTCTTGTCCTATCTCTGGCCTGATTCTGCTGCATACTCTATTCATCAGAATACAGATGATGAGTTTTGCCACGTGGCTCATTAGGCTTATTGTTTAGTGGAGTTCACATTTGTTTGTGCCTGATTTCTTAGGCATATTTATGATGATAGATCTGCTGAAGTCTTCCAGTATATCCCCACTGTTGTAGATTTCATGTTATTTCAGAGATCTTGTCTACGCCAAAGTCATCATGAAGTATAATTACTGTATAATTTAAGCATTAAATATATTGTGAGAACATATTATGTAAAATAAATTAAAAAATCAACTTTTATGGCCATTGTTTAGATAATTATAGAATTTTCCCCCTTAAATAATGTATAATTAACATTTGTATGCAAATATGGCATTGAAGTTGTCCTTTAATACAATTGAAACCCACTTCTAGCTCAGTGGGTCTGATCCAAACTTTATTTTATTGGTGCTTTTCTCTCTTTGTCCATTCTGTCAACATAACTACAACTTAAAAATTCCTTTGTTTATTTTGTTTATTATATGGAAGGATTTTGATGCTGTCAGGGAATTGGGAATTTAACATTTTGTTAACTTTGAAGTCATTTTTTTTCTTAATGTTGGAGGTTAATTCTTTTACTTGTTAATAGTTCTTTTAGCTTTGTCAGTGATCTGTGTCCTGCCTGTATTGTGCGAGGACATATAATTGTAAATCTTTAAGTGTGATTTGGTGAAAATATCACATTAATTTTTAATTTTGTTTCCTTTTAAATCTTTGCCTTTTGTAAGTTATTTCAAGTCTGTACTAGTTCTCAACTGACCTCTAACTTTGCATTGTCCATTGTGTATATATAATATTTGGAATTTGAATAAAGTCTTGCATTTAAAAAAGAAAATTAAATCTTAAACAAATCATATGTAAAACTTGATTTCTAAGTTATTGTATATAAGATGAACAATATTCTATGAATAAGACAGAGAATGCTGATTGAGTATAGGAAAATGGAAAGAATTAACATATATGAATTTATTAGGTTTATGCGTGAATTCAATCAGTGTGGATTTCAACATGGCTTTCTTTGTTCCTGGGGACATGATATGACATTCTTTGTTTAACAGAAAAAGGAATTGACAACACCTTCATGTTAAAAAAATATGGAACAGGCCATACTGCACACATTACTGAAAAGAGAATAACTTATAAGTGTGTGTTAATCAGAATTTTCTATTTGATAATGCTTTTTACTAGTGTGTGGGTTAGTCTTACTTTTTATAGTGATAATACACCTGAAGGGCATAGAATGAATTTGGTTAAAACACTGGAAACAGCAGAAATAACAAAGAATGAGTTCAAATGTCCAAAAATCTTTCATGATAGATTTTTAAGTGTTTGAAAAGAAAAAAAAATACCTTTATTACTACCTGGAGTGTTTCTTTTTCCTCCTTTTTTTTTTCTTTTTCCTCCTTTTTTTTTTTTTTTCCTTCTTTTTTTTTTTCTTTTTCCTCCTTTTTCTCTTTCGCTTTTTTCCTCTTTCCCTAACTCCTGTCAGTTTTCATTAAAAAAAAAAAATCTGGAAATAACCTTCTAGAAATAACATCACATATTTTATGAGTAGTATCTCACCAATAAAGTATCACAAGTTGTAGTTTCTTTGAGAAAGTATTGATTTTTCTCCTGCTGTGTATGTTTAAAAAAAAAAACAAACAAAAAAACAAACTCTGAATTTGTAACTTAGTTGAATAATGTCAATTCCCAATGAAATGTTTGGATGTGACCTTTCACACAGCCTTTATTTATTTATTTATTTTTTTT